AATCAGCATCTAGTAATTTTGTCGTGCTAATAATAAAAATGTTTATAATTCACACTCGAATTTTTCATCTACAAAAAACCCTTCAGCATATAACTGACTAACTTTGTCCTTTTGATTTTTGTGAAGACTGTATATTTGCTGTTCTGGACTTTCTTTTTGTACTTACCTTCAATGCATAACAATGGTGGCCACAGAACTTCTTCAGTCTAACATACGGGCAACACGACAGCGCAGTATATTAGTGGTGTTCACGCCAATATGGCCACAATTGGCTTCATTTTTTATTTACTTATGTACAGACCCTTTGCACTAACGTCACAAATCCTTAGAGTGTCCCTCAGATGCCCCCTAACAATATCTGTTCGGGTACAACAACCACATACAGCGCAAAAATTAACCATTTTATAATACAAAATTATTATAAAGTTTTGCAAAATTTGCTTTGTTTACAAAAGTTATATTATGCATAGATTTGCTAATTTGTCCTCCAGATGCATCATCACCGGCGCTGTGACGTCATGTGCAATGGGTCTATAGCAGTATATATGCTAGTTTTAGGATCAGTGTATTAACGTTGCTTATCAAGGGCTAGCAAACCACATACGCTTATATATGTCGTACATGCGCACATCAATAATAACAAATCAAACACACACTTTACATAACTGGCTTTTTTTCAGACAACGAAGAACAATTTTTTGTCTCATTTCCAGTCACTTTTTGACCATACAACGCAAAATTGAAAAACATAATCAATATATGGTATGGAAACTTGGCTAAAGTCTTTCTTCAATCGCTTTTAGGAGTGCGCCGGATAGAACTTTTTGCTATCCAGCCGGTTACCGGATATGCCGATAGTTTTGAAAAATATCCGGTTGCATATCGAACATTGTTCATATAATAAATAAATTAATTAATAAATAAGGTTTGGGTTTTCATTTAAGATATTTTAATTTGCTGTAAAATGCGCGTCTTTGTAATATTTTGACTTACAATAATACTTGAACTCATATGAAAGAACATGATATAGTCTCACCAACAGTAAACAAGCGTGATTGCCAAAGACTTGCTTATAAAGTTCAAAATCCACTTTTTGCCACTCGCAAACGAATGTGAAACACTGCCAGTTTCTCTATGACTATTTCATTGTCAAATCATGTTAAACACATCCTACTTTTTCAAACATATCAACTCATCTTTTAACCCGAAAAGAGGGCTTGAACCTTCAGATATAAACAACATCTGGTATCCCGCCGGATGTTTCTAATATCCTGCCGGATACTGGATAGTAAGGTTATGTCAGTATTCGGCCCGGATATCCGGCCAGATATGATATCTAGTGCATCCTTAATATTTTGTTTTATATGCATACTTGTGCATAGCGAAAACAATAAATTTTTAATTAGTATAATAAAGACATCCATACAATGCATGACTGTAAAAATATTTACAAGTGAAGTCGACTCAACATAGAATCCTTGTTCATTACAGACACTTCGAAATTTTCAATGTTTCGAGACCATATGTCGATTAATTATGCATTATATTAATAAAACATTACATTCTAGTTTCCGCCGGAATTACGTAGTCATCATGTTCTTCATTTAGATGAGTATATAAATATTCATCACATTCGTCTTCCCGAGACCTTTTGAGAGATGTATACGTTGACTGCTCATCGTTTACTAGTTCATAATCACCAGTACTGACATCATCTCCTACATGATCGTCATAAGTACCAAGTTCCGAATAATTTTCGTCATCTGTCCCCTCTACGTTTGCATTAGTGCTTGATGATTTGACTCGACCATTTTTATAAATGAAATAAGCAATAATAACAAATAAAATGACCGGAAGACTGATTGCTAATACTATAATTCCAACCATATATTTTTCAAAAATATCATCATCATTTTCGTCCATACCTGAAACTTAAGGATCAATATGTATTAGACAGTTGACAAGTGGTTTTCGTGCCCTACTCTCCTGTTTAGGTAACTCAATGCAATTTCCGAACAAAATTCGTTAACTTTATGTAACTTAAGAAGACATATAATTTAGCGCCTATCACGGTTAATAGAAGGAGACCATTAATTAAGTGAAAAAAGAGCCATGTTGCGACTTTTTAATTTATATATTACTCACTCTTGTAGATGAAGACCTTGGACAAGGAATATCGAAATGTTTAGTTGTGAATGTTAAGTTTATTCGAAGATTACATTTCTTCCTTAAATACGAGAAATGAGCGAAATTATGTTTAATATTGGTTGTATCAAAGCAATTATATAAAACCATTGTTTTAGAGATTACTGCATGACACTTTAATTACAATACGCTAAGAGCAAGGTTTGTGCACATGTTTGTTTGAAATGTTTTAAACACAATATATCGGTGGCGGCGGAACAGGTTTTAATTTGAGACTCCTGCAGGTTTCTAGATCTCTAAGTCAGACATCGGTAGAAGTGTAAAGACGACGTACTGTTAAGAATTGATAGGTGTTATATGCTTCGGTAACATACAAATAACACGGATTGTTATAGATTAAAATCATAATTTCAAAGCACAAATATTCGCCATCTTGGCTTCGTTATCAACTATATCCGAGCTGTAGGAGCCTGGTATTTAACCTAAACTAAATAACATACACCAAAAGGTACTAAATCCCATACACTACATCCCTCGTTTTTTCAGAAACAAAGTTTATATATATATATATATATATAGTTCGATTCCTATAGCAAAACATTTGAATTACGTCTTTGCTCTTTTTTTTCCTTTTAAGATTGTCCTAAAAAGTTAATGGTCGAAATGTACTTTATCACCAGGAAGAATATCCGAGTACCGCGCATTTCGTCTTTCGTCAGCATACATTTTACCTTTATTCTTCTGCTCGTGATCTCGATCTCGCACTTCCAGTTCAACGTGTATATCTCGAAGTTCTGGCAAACGTTTCCGTATTTTCTGACCAAATAACAATACTGCAGGACTCATACCTGAGGTTGGATGAGGTAGACTACGATAAGAAGCTAAATATACATTTAGTTCCTTCTTCCAATCTTTCTTCTCTGCTTGTGCGATTTGGATTCTCTTTAACAATGACCGGTTCTGTCGTTCGACCTCGCCACTTTGAGCCACTTTGCAGTAACTCTTCGATGTCGAATTCGTTGATAATCCATATAAGCTTTAAATTCTGTGGAAATGAATTGAGGTCCATTATCAGACGTCAAACTTATGGGAAGACCATGTCTAAAGAATATTTCTTCAAGACTTTCAATGACCTTAGCAGTAACGGTTGATTTCATGATAACAACTTCATAGTAGCCACTGGAATAATCGATAACAACCAGTATAAACTCTCCCGTAATTGAAGGTCCTAACAGGTCAACTGCTAAGTCTCTCCATGGGCCACTAGGAAGGGTAGTAGTTCTAATGGGCTCTAGACGTCAGGATGACTATCTAATTGGCACCCATAGCATGCTTTACAATACTTCTCTGCATCCTTTTCCATTCTTTACCAAACTTTACTTCGAAGCTTCTGTTTCGTCCCCACAATACAAAGATGCCTCTCGTGAGCCAAACTTAACACTTTGGGTCTTAACTTCTTTGGAATAACCACTCTTGTTCCCCTGAGCACTAGTTGACCAACTACACAGAACTCGTCACAACATGGGATGTATTGTTTGTAGACCATCATGTCCCACGAACTGTCGTTAATGGCTTTTCTTACCGCCGTGAGTTCTTCCTCATCTGCAGAGACTTCTTCGACTTCTCGAGTTGTCATTGCGTTGGGGCGTTTCTGTCACTGCCACAAACCGTACATAACTTTCAGCCTCTGTTTCATAATTGCTGGTGGTTTGACGGCCATGTATTAATCTTGACAACGGGTCAGCAATATTCTTCGATCCTGGAACATACTTCACTTTAAATTTGTATGGTTGCATTCGCAGCACCACCGTTCAATACGTGCACAAGGCTTTGATCTTGGCCCATAAATGACCTCGAATGGCTTGCGGTCTGTGATCAATTCAAACGAAATCCCATATACATACTGGTGGAACTTCTCGCAAGCCCATACCAAAGCCAAGGCCTCCTTCTCTGTCTGCGAGTATCTCTTTTCGGTTAAGGCTGGGACTTGCGTAGCTGATAACTCGTGGACCATCTTTATGCGTCTGAGTCAACACCGCTCCTAACCCAACAGGACTCGCATCAGCAACTACTTGAGTTGGTGCGTCTTTATCAAAATAACGAAGTGTCGTGGAACTTGATAACCGCCTCTTCAATTCATGAAACGATTCCCTCTGTTCCGAGCTAAAATTGAATGGTACTCCTTTCTTAGTTAGACACTTAGGAGTTCTGATATGGCTGCCAAGTCAGGGATAAATCGACCACACTAATTCACTAGACCTAAGAAGCTTCGCACTTCTGACGCTGACTCTGGCTCTCTCGCTTCAACCACTGCTCTCACCTTCTCTTCCGTGCAGCTAATGCCATTTACAGACAAAAGCATTCCAAGAAATATCAAACCACTCATGTTAAATTGACACTTTTCGACATTGAGTGTTAAACCAAAATCTCCCAGTCGCTTGATAACATTCTCTAACCGAGTGTCATGCTCTTCTTGGTTTTGCCCATGCACAATGATATCATCAGATATATTTACCTGTCCTACCAATCCTGCAAGTACTCTCTGGGTCTCGTGTTGGTATTGCTCTGATGCAGAATCGACTCCAAACAGTAACCTTTTATATCTGTATAATCCGCAGTGGGTGACAAATGTAGTAATATCTTTTGATTCAGGGGTTAGTTCCAACTGGTGGTACCCCCACTTTAAATCAAGCTTACTGAACACACTACTTCCATTCATGCCTTGTGTAATTTCATCAATCGTGGGGATGGGGTGTCTTTCACGCATGATAGCCTCATTCGCTCTGCGCATGTCAACACAAAGTCTTATCTCCCCTTATCTGCGCATGTCAACACAAAGTCTTATATCCCTGTTATTAACCCACGTCGCATACCGAGAAGTTTCTCCAGGCTCATTATAGCTGTGTTATACCCCCCCCCCCCCAGTGCGAATAATAAACTCATGTTAAAATACTTGCAGTCATCTCTAGAATCCGTCGAAGCGAAGTATCCAAATTGTGGACTAATTACAGCAGGCGACTTTAATAAACTACCTATTCGGCACATTTGTCGCCAATTTCAACTAAAGCAGATTGTTAACTCCCCAACTAGGGGATCAAGTAAATTGGATTTAATTCTCACCAATCTCGCTGCTTTTTATGATATACCATCTTGCGCTCCACCTTTGGGTCTGTCTGATTATCTAACTGTTTTCGTGTCATCTAAGCTTAGGTCGAAGGATTCTAAAGCGACACAAGTGTATCATGTACGGGACAGAAGGCCTAGTACCATACGACGCCTCGGACGTTTTTTTTGTGAAATCCCATGGAATCTCGTAATTACCCCTGAATCCATGACCAAAAAATCTAGATTCTCTAACTAATATTATTAACTACGGACTAAATACCTTGGCGCCACTAAAAACTGTAAAGACACTGAAGAATGGCCGACCATGGATGAGTTCCAACCTTAAATCTCTTATCCATAAATTAAAAGACAAAGAGCTTTTGCACGGAATAACGAAGAATGAGAAAAAAGTGTCGGAAAGCGTACTACGAAGCAAAAGTAAAAGATATTAAACAAAGTAAGCCTAAATTGGTGGTATGAAGTGAAACGTCCGTGTGGTCTTCCATCAGGATCAGGGAATAATAATATATTTTCAAATTTAGAGCATGACACTCAAGACCCTGATACACTTGCCAACATGATTAACAACACTTTCCTGGATCCTATATGCAAAATTACCCACCTCTGGATGAAAATATTTCACCTATACCAGAGAATGATGCCGTGATAGTTGTGTCCGAAGAGGATGTATGGACATGTCTACATCGCATAAAGCAAGCGGTAAAGCAAGCGGTCCTGATAATTTACCGAACTGGGTTTTGCAGAAATTTGCTGCATTATTGGCAGCTCCAATTGCAGTGATTCTGAATGGCTCCTTTAAAGAGGGTCGGTTGCCTTTGGTTTGGCAGTTGGCGAATGTTTGCTCAATTCCCAAATCTAAACAAGTGTTGAATGTTAACAATGATCTTAGACCCATCTCCTTGACTTCAACTTTATGTAAATTTGCAGAGGAATTTGTAATTGCGAAATATCTTAAACCGACGTTAATGAAATGAAATGTATTCATGATCTTAAACAAAACGAGTTTATATCAGGATCTAATACCACCCTTGCACTAATCTCTATGATTCACCGCTGGTCAGAGGCAGTTGACAAGACGGGCGGATCTGTACGGATACTCTTAACGGACTATAGTAAAGTATTTGACCTGATAGATCATAATATACTTTATGAGAAGTTACGGAAACTGGGGCTGAAACCGTTGGTTTTTAACTGGATTGTGGACTTTCTGTGTGAAAGATCCCAAAGAGTAAAACTAAACTCAAAATTTTTTTCAATGTGGAAACCAGTTAATGCTGGAGTTCCACAAGGGACAAAGCTCGGCCCTTGGTTATTCCTCGTTATGATAAATGACCTCATGATCTCAGATGATTATGGGTGATATGATTAAATATGCTGATTATACCAATATTTGGTAATACCTTTCTTACCAAGATAGTACTGATTCCATTCAGGAAGTGACAAACTCTGTTGTGGATTGGTCCGTTTGTAATAAATTTGAACTTAATAAAAAAATATAAGGAAATGGTAATTAACTTTCAACAGAACCGGCCAGACTTTGCACCTATTTTAATACAGGGACAAACCACTGCTCGGGTAGAAAAGGCAATAATTCTCGGGATGTCGATAACTCAAGATCTAAAATGGAATGAACATGTTAACAAAATAACTAAGAAAGCTGCAAAACGTCTTTATCTACTGAAACAACTGAAGAGGTCTGGTCTTGATAGCAAAGATTTAAAATGCTTTTTTATTGCATCCATCAGAACGATCCTCGAATATGCTTGCCAGGTTTTCCATTGTAGCTTACCTAAATATTTATCGACGTAATTGAAAGAATTCAAAAAAGGGCATTGCGTATAACTTTTCCCGGATCTATCGTATGAAGATGCCTGGACTACTCTAGATGTGAAGAGTCTATGGTTGAGATGAGAAGATCTGTGTAGTAAACTTTTTAAATTAATCGTTGACGATGAGAATCATAAACTCCACCATTTATTGCCTATGAACGTTCCAGATATTTATCATTTTCGAAGTTCAAAACAATTTTATATTCCTAAGTTCCGTACAAACAGATTTAGGAACACTTTTATAATGTAAAGTCTCTTAAATAAATAATATATTATGTAGATGTCTTCTTACCATTTTATTGTATGCATATGTATAGTAATTTATAAATTATTATTGTAGTTTATAAATTTTAAATTTTGTATAAAGTTTTGTAAAGCTTCATGCAATTCAGCCGGAAGGCTGCCATATGATTCTAATAAACGGTTTATCTATCTCGGTTTCCGGACTATGACCACTGGATTGACCCATGATTCCATGAAGTCGGTCCTTCCACTGGTTCTATAATATCTAGGCTTATAAGCTGTTTAATCTTCTCTTCTACTTTGGGTCGCATGTTGAATGGAATCCTTCGAACTGGCTGAGCTACTGGCTTTACATCAGAGTTTATGTAAAGTTGTACTGTCCTACCCTCCAACTTACCAACACCTTTAAAGACCTCTGGGTATTTCCTCTGAAACATTTCACCAACATTCTGCAGTCCGGACTTGACTTGACTGAAGCAACATCAACGACCATGTTAAGAACTCCTAGTTTCATAGCTGTATCTTTGCCAAGGAGTGACTCTCCTCGCCCAGAAATAATACAGACTTCTGCATCCACGACGTGATGACCAACAGAGATTTTACAATTGAATGTCTCGATTATCTCCAATGGTGTCTGTGAAGCGTACGTATAGAGTTTCTTTTCTGAACGAGATGACGTACACACAACTCGATTTTTCTTCAGCCATTCCCACGTTTGTTTATCTACGATATTAACGCTCGCACCAGAATCAATGATCATATTCAATTGACATCCTCCAACAGTAACTTCAACTTTCTCTGGCTTGGTGCTTCCCACGATAAATGCATATGCTGGATACTCTTCCTCTGGGTTGATCACATTGACCGCTCTTCTACGCTGTTGGTGTCTGCTGACGTTATTACCTTTCTCTTCCTTGGGCGTCGTCTTACATTGGGCTTCGAAATGATCCTTTAAACCACACTTTCGACAGACCTTTCCCTTCGCGGGGCAGCTGGGATCTTTTTCAAAATGACCCAGTTTACCGCATCTGTAGCAGCTTTTATCTTGACCAGTTCTTTGTTTCTTATTACTGTCACACCAATCACGCTTTTTACCTTTTACATAATTCGCAACTTCAACACCTCCTCGTTTCACTATCGACATCGCTGCCAACTGCGAATCAACTTTTTAACAGTTTTCAGCGACTTAGAGTGCTCGTTCTAGGGTAAGTCCTTGACCCTCCTCCAAGAGTTTCCTTTTAATGTACGAGCTTGAACATTTACAGAGAATTTCATCACGAATTCGATTGTCTGATTCATCTCCATAACCGCAGTCTTTTGCAGCTCGTCTCAATCTAGTTGCAAACCGTCGAACTGTTTCTCCTCGAGCTTGTGTTAATTTTCTGAAACAATGTCTAGCATATGTAGTATCAATTTTCGGAATAAAGTATGTATTCAAAGCGTCAATAGTTTTCTTATAATTTGAACACCACCTGTATTTGGTACGGTTGAAAATATATCCTGAACATCTGGTCCTGCTAAATGTAGCAATAAGGCACGTCTCCTCTGTTTTACTGTCGCGTTATCACCAGCAATGATCAGGAATTTTCCATCTGCATACAACTCGAAACCAGACAACCACCGTTTCCATCTTAATCCAAGTGTTTCAGGGTCTCGAAAACAGTCAAAAGTTTTGATACTATTATTGTCGTTTTCTTCCATGTATTTCGTTTATTTTTGTTGTAAAACACTTCTACAAGTATTGTTTTACCTCGTCACCAATGTTATATGCTTCGGCAACATACAAATAATACGGATTGTTATAGATTAAAATCATAATTTCAAAGTACAAATATTCGCCATCTTGGCTTCGTTATCAACTATATCAGAGCTGTTGGAGCATGGTATTTTACCTAAACCTAAACTAAATAACATACACCAAAAAGTACTAAATCCCATACACTACAATAGGTAAGAAACAAAACCATTAAAAAAAAATTACAGTGCGTTAAACAAAATCAAATAGTAAGTATGAAATTCGGAACAGAAGTATTCTTAGAGCCACAAACAGTACAAACAAAATATATGTCGATATATCCATGTTGTACTTACTTCCATTCGTAAAAAATCCTTTACTTTCACTGTAGTTTCCATGACCAACTTTAGTACTTGCAAGAACACGAACATAATATTTTGTTGATGAATTCAAATTCCCAACCAGCCACTCTCTTCCACGTGTAATAAATGTCTGAAAACAAGGCCCGTTTTCGGAGTGTGAAACACACGCTGTGTAACTGACAATGACGCCATTTTGTTTCGCTTTCTCAGGAGGATCCCAAATAACAGACAATAATGACGCACTTCTTGATGTGGTTTTGATGTGTGATGGAGGACCGCTCGGAGCTTAAGAGT